GCTGAAGGATATTATGTTGATTTATTAAAAGGTGCTTGAAGGTAATGGCTGCGTCTAATCACATAAACCAGCAGGATTAAAGTAATGCAAAGTGTGCTTTTGAAGAAAAGATTATTGGTATTTTTTTTTGACATTCATCTGAGCGTGGTTCACATAAATACAGCTTCCCACTGAATCCATAGTCATTCCTAACTACAGTAGTATGTTCCCGATTGATAATAGGCTGATAGAAAATTGCAAGTTTATGAAGTTGATTAGGACAAAAAGTTTCAAGAAATTAGTCTCTTTGCTCTACAGTTAAAAGGTTTTAGTCATCTATAACCAAAACTTTAAAGTCAGTTACTCAAGGGCATTTTGATAAATTAATAGCTATGCTTTGATTCTTAATTCTGGCTCCCCTTTGTGACAAAGCAGCCATACTCCTAGAATCCCTTTGCATATATCCATCCTTGCCTAGAAAAACACAACTCTTTCCCCCCCCCCCTTTTTTTTCCTTCCCTTTACAAGCTCATCTTTGCTTTAGCCCAGATTGGGGGTTTTTGGTGGTACACACGTCTGTGTACGTGCATGTCTGTGTTCTAAATTACACCATTTTTACTTTGCATAAACCAAGTGCTTCCATGTCCCAGGTCTCCTTTCACGCTGTGTGTTCAGAAACCTCCCCTGCTTTTCCCTACCTCCCATTTCTGCGGCAACCCACATCGCTTGGATTTTACCCATTTTGACAGATGTGGTACTACGTCCTCCTTGTCTTGTTTGCTTCGTGTCCTTTCCCCACATCACTCGCTCCTTTTTGCTTCATATCCTTTTCCAGTGGAGTCAGAAAAACCTGCACCAACTTTTTCCTTCCAGCTGCATTTTTTTTTTCCCTTTCCCAATCTTATCTGCCAGATTATTTATTAACTGCTGAATAAAGCTGCCAGTCATTTAGGGCAAGGGCTGTGTCTTTCCTTGTGTTCTGAGAAGTCGGAGCCTGCTGTGTGATCTCTTCTGGCACACGCAGGGTTCAAGCTGAGAGAGGAGTTCTTCAGGCTTGTGGAAATCCTCTTCCCTTTACCAAATCTGGGTGCTTTTGGAGCGGGGCTGGCCTGGTTCCAAGCAGCCGGGACGAAGGCACAAGCTCTGGGCAACTGGATTCGGCCTCTCATCTCCACGGAGACAGAAACCGTGCAGCAGGAGCAACAACAAACAGTCGGGGAAAGAAAACACCCGGTAAGAAAACATCTTTCTCCTCTGAAACACTGCTCTTCGTTGTGTTTCCACTGGACAGCCTAAACCTTTGAGACCTTCCCGCTCTCCTCCGTTATGTCCCGCTGTTTTGGCAGGATCCAGGGTAGCAGCAGCGGTGGGGGGTGCAGGACGGCAGAGACCGAGGTAGCGTCCCTGCCGACGGGCGCCGCTGCGCAGCTCTGAAACCGTCTGCGCTTCACAGGCTTGGATTCATTTTGGCTGCTCGTTATTTTTTATCCTTTGTTGAGCTGGCTCCTTCCCACGCTCTACCTTTATCTCCCATCAAAGCCCAGGAATTCACAAAACCCGATGATAAGCACGTTGTTTCACGTGCTGTGTAGTTCCAGGTCTAAATGAAAAACTCATAGATTGGTTTTAGGCTAACTTTTCATGCCGTGTGATTAGGCACCAATAATGATTTTGGTGCCAATGTAATATAAATATTGCCTTTATTTTTACATGAGGAACCAGACTTTTAAAATAATTGAACAAATCAGTGTCAAAACTCAAATGATGAACCATTTCGCCAGGCACAAAGTCTTTGTATTACAGGGCATTCAGTAATTATTAGCATTTTATAGATCTTTTATTCTATTCATAGATGAGCGCAGCATAAGGCTATTCAGTTATTTTTAATGAGCAATATACTATTAAAATCTTATCAATCAATTAGAAGTTTGATGTAACCCTCAATGTTTTATTTGCATTTATAATACTAGATCTGTAGGAGAAAATAAAGGCAGAAGAGAAGGATTGCTTAAGGAATTATTTACAGCTTTATCACTTACAGGCTTTTTACCTAAATATAACAGTAGTTCTTGTAGCTACAACAACAGGGCTTTGAGAAGGAATAATTAGCAAAGCTAGTAATCAGCAAATGAATAGGCTTGCATAAATACTAAGCCTACATTCTTTGCTTTTGCATCATCAGCCTGGCATCCGTCTCATCAGCCCGCCTGACTTTGAAGCAGGCGAGGAGGCTGCAGGCTTCTGTGGGTTTTGGGAGGTCCTCTCCCCCCACAACGGTTTCTCTGGACTTCTAGAGAAACTCCACCAGCTTATCGCAGCGGTCTTGGCCACATAGCTTTTTAATTATGCTGAATGTCACTAACAGAAATGGTCACTATAAAATTGTCTCATCTTTGTGTGAGACAGGGGCTCCATGGCTCAGGATGAGAGGCAGGCAGGGCTGACCGACCCCACAAGTGATCCAGAGACGGGCAAAGACGTGGAAGATCTGACAAAAGGCCTGGAGCAACTCTGTGAGAGCCCTGAAGAGGAGAAGAGTGAGAAGGCTCTGCTACGTTCACGCCTAGAAGAACAGCATCGCCTTATCTGTATACTAAAGAAAAAAGCAGACGATGCACGTAAATGCTGCAGAGTCCTGGAGCAGCTCAACACGGAACTGGAGAAACTGAGGACAGAGGATACTGTGAAAATGAAAACCCAGACACAACGGATTCAGCATTTGGAGCGGCGCTTCACGGATCTGGCCAACAACCACGAAAAAATGATCCAGTTCAAGGACGAACACAGGAAACAGCATATGCAGCTGCGGGAGGAGAACAAGCGCCTGCGGCAGGAGAACAAAGCGCTCTTCAGCCAGACTGTGATGGAGAAGGAAGCTGAAGTGCTCCAGCTCGCTGCCCAGGCCAGAAAGCTCTCGCAGCAGTTAGACTCCTTACAGGAGAAACGTGCTTACGAGAGTCGCAGAGCCCAGGAGCGAGAAAACGAGCTGCTAGAAGCTCAGAGCCAGCAGGCAAGTGCCCACGCCTGGGAAGTCGATTCGCTAAAAAACCAGCTGCAACGCCTGCAGGAGAAGCACCGAGAAACCGTCGCACAGGTAGAGCACACAGAAAGTCAGCAGAGAGCTCAGGGCAGCGAGCTGCAGGCCAAGCTGGAGAGGGCGAATGAGGAGAAGGAACGACTACTGATCCTGGCCGCAGAGAGGGGCAAAGCCCTGCAGGATAAGCAACGGGAAATTCAGCAGCTGGAGAAGAAGCTGGAGACTGCAGAAAAAGCCAGGCAGAGAGCAGGAAAGCACCTCGTGAAAGGGGCAGTGGTGGCAGACAATGATCTGAAGGTCCAAGAGCTCCAACGACAGCTCGAAAGCAGCCAGCAGGCGTACAACGAACTCTCGCTGCAGTTTGATGCGTACAGAAAGCACAGTATGGATCTACTGACTAAAGAAAAAGCGCTGAATGTCAAACTCCGTCATTTTACAGCATGACTGCAGCTTTCTCCTCTGTTCACGTCTCGGCAGGTGACTCTGCTGTGATGCACCACTGCGTTTTGTTCCTTTCCATGAGACCATCACCTTCTGATGTCTCTTAAAGCAATTACCAGCTTAACCCCCCAAGGACTGTTCCGTAGCCTTTGTTTTGTTACACTTCTACATAAGTAAGAGCTCTACGCTGTTACATCTGAATGGGGATTGTTGAACTAGTTAATCCTGTGACATGAAAGATTAGGGTGGAAAATGTAAAATATTAATTTATTTGGTCCTAACCTCTGCTGTATCATAGATTTTCATTTTTTACAGTTAAAAGCACGTTATTTCCCAAGATGGACCAAAGGTCCAACCCTTAGCCTTTCGCGTTTCAGGTCTCCCTTGAAGTTCAACAGAGGTTGAACATTGAGGCTCCAAGAAAGAAACCCTTGCAATATCTGCATCATGAACAGTCGTGATGAAGTAACTTAACAGGTCAAAACTAATACAGTACAATACCTGATGCTCAAGCAAATTATGTGTATAGCTGTCTGGTGGGTTTCTACAGCTGTTTTAGTCCTATTTAATGCCATAGCATTATTTATGTCCCTGTTCAGCTCAAAATAAATTGTCAGGTCTTTGAGGTGATTTCAATAGTCTTTGAAACAGGTTGAGGTTCTAGATGTTCTGCCAGTGTAAGTGTTTTCTGGGTTTTAGGTGTTTTCTGTAGAGAAAATAGCAGTGATGCACAAAATGGAAGGGTCTGGCAATTATTGACAAAAAAAATCTTTCCCTTTCTGTCAGCACTGCGGGACAGAGGCATCCCGCTCTCTCTTGCCTCTCTCCCAGCTGAGAAGGATGATTTTGGCAGCTCCTGCTCTTTAACTCTCCAACAAAAGAACCCACGATGTGCCAAACGGCATCCCCCATCAGGGCTGGAGGCAGCTGCCTCAAGAGTTCTCCAAATTACCTTGGGGTAACTCAATGTTTTAGCTAGTTGTTGGGGTAGGTCTTGGTCCTGAGCATCTACAAAGCAGCAGCACTGCCTCAAACTTGGTATCTATTGAGATCAGTGCTCAGAAGTGGCCAGAGGTGGCCAGAAGCAGAAGACCTGGAGATCCTCCAGCTTGTGACTGGTTCATCTCAAGGACTTACTGAGCCAGATGTGGTTTCTAAGTAGTAGCTATCAACAGACCTGTCCTCTGGACTTGCCTGGACTCTCCTGGACCCTACACAAAGCCAGGTGAGAAGTGCTGCTCTACTACCACCTGCACAACCACAGCCTTTTGTTTTGATTCTGGCTCCTACAAGTGTTATTCCACATCTGTTTTACGGACTACATCCTCCTACTTTTCAACCCCCCCTCCTCCCCGATGTGCCCACCCCACGTGCACATTTAATTAATCTAAATGCAGGCATCTACAGTGCAAACACCAACTGACCCAGGCTGCAAACTTAGGCTCATGGTCTGAGAGGAAGGACTATGATAGGACTTGAGTCCACTGCTCTGTTTTAATTAGTCGATATGCAGCGAGGAGTGCCCGTTTCCCTCCGGTGACTGCAAGAGCCTAAACCCAGGTACCTAAACAGTTTAAATCTGGGCAGGGGACACCCTCTTGCTGTGTGACAGAAC